ATGCTCAGCCATCTACATAGGCAGGACAGAGAGGCAGTTACGTCACCGAATGGCCGAACACATCCCGATGTGGCTTAGGAAAACGATGGACGACAAGTTCAAATCCGCTACGTTATCGAATGAGCAGAAAAGACCAAGATCTTCGATAATACGACACTTATTCGAACAAAAACATTGTGTCACTCCAACTCACGCATTTCATATAATCTATAACAGAACAAACACAAAGTTACTGAAATTTGTCGAGGCTCTAGCCATTCGTACCCTCAAAACCGATCTATGCAAACAACGTGAATAGTTGATCACATTAGCTTTGCCTTGGTGATTATCCCTCCCCCACCGTCTCTCGTTCTTTGTGTGACGGTGTCNTTGATTTGGCGGAGGGGGGCAATGGTTCTTTCACCGATGTCGACGGTATCTGGGTGGTAGTGAAGACAATGACGGGGTCAACTGCGTAATAGACACGCTTGACGGCAGAGTTCAGCCGCTTGCTGACTAATTCCATCACGTTATCGCCTTTGTATGATAACTTAAAAAGGTCTCAGCTTGGGAGCATTTATTGGTTTTTCTACTTTTTGTGCTGTTTTGCGATGAATGCAAATCGATATCCGTTTGCTTACAGAACTTCTTTTACGAGTTGAATTTCGTCATTTAAAGAGTCCTCTGAGCATATTTCACGCGCTAGATGAAATAGTGTGCGAATGAAACTAATTTTGTATCGCACGGGGACGAAACCAGTGAAATGCAGAAATGAATTGGGAATCAGTGATGAGTGAGGAGCGCTCGGATCGATGTTAATTAAGTTGTAACTGCTAACGAAGGGGTTGAAAATGGAGATTTGCCCGACACCAACTCAGGTGAATGTCCCTTCAAGACGTCTGATAAGCTGTTTCTTAACTATCATTCAACCTCGAAGCAATTGAATGCGGAGTAAATCTTACTGAGGACATTACAGGAAAATGGTATTGATCCACCACCTCTTTATATAAACTCGTTACGGGAAAACATTGCTTTCAGATAATAAAGTTGTCTTTCGCTTTCGGGCTAGGATTAAAATATTTTGAAAAATAGGAGCGTAATTTCTGCGGTAAACAACGATAGAGATTTATCAAAAGTTTCTACGGACGTACATCGAATGAAGCTATGCTAGTGGCTTTGCTTTTCATTTCGAAAAAGGAGGGGAAATCTTGTTTTGGATATCAATATTTCAATGATCTCCCGGATGATTGATTTCACCCTAATTTTTTTGTTCTGCTATTTACTGTGTTCTCCTGCTATCAGTCCCCATCACCCTTTAAGTCGCATTGTCATCAGCATCATCAGCATCACCACCATCCACATGTACTAGAAATAAGGATGAAAAACAGTTTCATCTCATGGTAAGTTGGTGAACAACCGTATGTTCAGTAATCGCTCCTAAAACAATTTAACAATTTATATAAGTCCTGCTTTCTTATGAAATTTATCAGTTGTACTAATTGAGGAATCAGCTTATCACGTTAACCATTTGGTTTCTGAAGATCAAATCCGTTGTAATCCTGTATATCTCACTGCTCGCTCCCTCAATCTATCACCTGAACTGATCAAGGTCTTACACCAAACAACTCGATCAAATCAAGCATCCCGGTACGCTCAAACGGCTGCAAAAAATGCAATTCCAATTCGCAGCTCAATTAGTCATGTGGATCGTGAGGTGGCACAATGGATGGACGGTTTAGTCGAAGTACGACAAATCACTGCTTATTCGATACTTCCCCGACCACGGCCCGGGGAATCACGCCAGTTACCAGCCGGGCAACAAAAGATGAACAGCCAATCGGTCCGCACAGATCCAACTGATGAAAATACCACTGAGAATGGAAAGGATACACCAAGACAGGCTGACATGGCACCGAGTTCTGTAGGTGATAGAATAGGATCAGTTGAAACCTGTACAATGAACCACACCGAACCGAATGCGGAATCCTCCGAAACTGCGAGCCCTCCTGATAGTAATACGGAGGAACGTCTCACAATGGAAATAACAAATCAAACTACCGAAAGTTCACCAGAACATTCAGTAGCAGCAGGGTCAACTGAACCGTTGGAAGAGATTGAGCAAGGGCTTGCCCACCCATCCAACGAAGAGGAGTCAAAAATGGGTGATGACAATGAGGATCTTACATAATTACCACAAACATATCTCGTGTATAGCAGTTTATTTCCAAGAGTATGTATCTATCAGCGCTCTTTTAAAGACCGCGAAACAAAAAGGGATTCCCCCCAATTATCATATCCCAATGCGAATAACATTCATACCAATTTCGATCTGCTTCCATTTGGTTTACTTCTATATTGATATCAATTGAAGCTCTTCCGCTGATCAGACTGAAATGCTTATCGCAAACAATGATGACCGGCGATGGACATTTAGACCGCACGGCTGTTTATTTAGACCACCAAGAGAGTGGACTTTTTCTGCCTCAGATTGAAATATTTTCAAAGCCACGTTTCAAGAACGATTGAATAGTAACAACCTTTTCACTACTCCCTATTAGGAGAGTATCCCACGAGGCAGTCGTTACAAAGACCGCATTATATGGGTTTGCGGACAGAATGTGTCCAAAATATGTCCTAACTAAATACCGCAAGTCCACTTTGCATGAGACAGAATCTGCAATTAGAGATGAGTTGTCTGCCTCTAGTTCGCTTTTTGTATCCTGAATAGATCATAGAGGAGCAAACCATAGGCTGCAATTCAGGTCCGCTTACAAGTCCGACCGCCTGATAAGGACGAGTCTGCATATAGAACTTAAAGTATAAATATTCCGGATAGATAATGCACAAATCGGATTCAAATTTATTACTCATTTTATGTAGAGTTTCTACACATATTGGAACTCCACAACTGATTGTTCCTTTTTACAAATTTTTATGCTAACTACAAACAGTTAAAGAAGAACTAGGGGTGATGGATTTGTGGTTTGGCATATGTAACTTAAAACCTTAAAACCCGCACAGCCCACATTGCTCTAAATTGTGACGTGAGTGTGACTGTTTTCAGGATTGACCGTAATCAAACCTTCAAAAAGACTACAGTTGCGCAACAGTCAAATCGGCGAAATAGCTTTCATAAGGAAATGATGTTTAGTCCAATGTCTAAATGGAGTGCTTGGACGAGCCCGAAAATTGCGTCGTTTGAATGTTTTTAGCTTCCGTCAACCGAACGAACTACGATCCAGCTTCATCTGAGACAAACCGTTCACATCCTTGTTACCGCTGACCTTAATCAATCATGTTGCCAGTGTCAAACGCCGGTATGGATTTATTCCGGACTGCAATGCACTTAGCAATAGATTCCATAACTATGGTTTCGTGGAACCACACCTTCCGTATCACGCATCACTTGTATGTAGGCCAAACACTCATATCCACCAATTACGATAAAGTGAAATCAGATGCATCAGACACAGGAGCACGAATTCATTGACGCAGGATGAGTTCACTGCCGATTTTCCTTCGCTGTCACTTCATGCACCTATTATTGGCTAACTGAGTTGTAGGATCAGCAGACTACGAAATTGATCTATAATCTAGCTCCACCTGCTCCAGGAGGGTAGAAAAACCTCTTAAAGTCTGATTGAATGAGCGCAAGAACGTGGGCAGATAACGAACTGGCAAAGAGCGGTTTTAACTGGTCAGGTACTTTTACCAAACCAATCGGCATGTAGCCGGAGCTGATATGTGATACACGCAGGAATTACGAACTGGGTAAAACCGTGTAGCAGTTTTGAGCACAGCCAAATGGCTTTTCTTTACACATCGATTATAAACTAAAGTCAGAGGGCTAAACCACACGATCAGACTACCATAACTGTGCCGTGTAAATCCTCGAGGAAAATCACTCACAATCCAGTTATGGAACCTCATATTTTGTTGCTTTATTGACTTGGGATACGAGGAAGCGTCTCTGACAGTCTACCGACGGTGGCCATCAATCTCTTTACCGAGGTAAAGTACTTTCTTGTACTGACCAGGAGCTCAATGCCGTTGGGGAAAAAAGTTCCACCTGTTACAAAACATAGGTTATGTATTCTTTGTCGTAGCATTGGGGTTACAAGTATGCTATGACAAAGAATACATAACCTATGTTTTTAAATCCCCATGAAACCACCCGTCCGGAGGCCCAGTAGTGTAGGTTGTACACAGAATCCCGTGTCGGTAAGATTGAGTGATGACTTTTTACCGAATTTTCATACGTGCTGTAGTAAGCACTTGTACGGACCTGGCAGGACCCTATACTTGCACAGACCCTTTGTGACGGTCAGCTGAGGGAGCTTGCTAACTGCTAGATATTATATCACGAATAGCGAAAGCTAATGGAAGGTTTTCGAACTTTGACACCTAGGACACTCTCATGGCATCCAAACTCTCACCTGAGGGAAGGGTGTACATTCTTGTGTACTAATTTGCGATGGTAAGACCCGGCCTATACACCCTAAGGATATTAATCAAGTTTCCTGATTCCAAGAACAATATCGTCCAAGTACTGCAGATGGAAACATTGGGTGAGCAATGATGTTCGTGGTCGTCGGTAAGGCCAAAGGTAGCTCTTGAAAAGAAGAAATCTCCCTAACCATGTAAAATAAACATTAACATCAACCCAACCTTAAAAAATAAAGGACCTTCAGTGAACACGATATTCGGTACTTCTGATTCAAACCCTGTATGACCCGATTGGCAGTTATCATACACGCGCCTTTCTTGTGACGTGCGTGAGGTTCACATCCCAGACCGACCGCTAAATACACTCTGCTCGATCTACCGAGAATGAGACCTGAACATAGTCAGATACGATAATGATTAATCCACACCATGACTCGCAAGTTAATGTGATTTGAAGCTGGAATATTCTCGTCCCGTTGTCATTTCATTTTCCTCGATAGTCTGTTCAAAGGGGTAAACTTGAACCGGAGCAATGAAGCATCCGTGCCATTTTCTAAACTGTGCAACACAAAAAAAACAAAATACTGTAGGAAAGCTGACAAAAGAAACAAGAAGAATCTTCATCACGCTTATTGAGACAATATCCGTCTGGAGCCTAATTTACCACGTCACGCGTTGTCTATTCGCATTCACGTACGGGGCGTATTCCTAAAGTTAATTCTAATTCCAAAGGCCATTTATGATTCGAACGCTGTTTGTGGTCAATGTGTTGAAAGTGTTTTGCGCTGGCTGAAAGCTGTCAATCAACGAAAGTTTGTCCATGTTTATCATCAATGAGTCTGAATATATATATTGCCATTTGTACAACGTAAAATGAGCTGCGCGATCTGACACAGTGATAACGGGTATGAAAGTCATAGAAACTCAAAGAATAGCATGCGTCATTACGATTCAACCGATTTCATTTCTTCGAATGATTGCATACCAACCGCATCAGTAATACCATCGACATTCTGTCGACGTTTTTGACGACCTATAGAAGTTGAGTTCAGATCAAGCAACCGCTAACCGTGCGCGCTTGGTTGCCGTCATTTGGACCCAGGAATAAAGGGAAGGATTAAGCTGAAAGCAGCGCCAACGTTAAGATACAGAATACAATTAAATCGAATTTACGAAGCAATCGACAGGGGGGTTTTCAACCGGTCAGTTGCTTATTCGCTGGAGTGACCTCTTCAGGGTTGAGTGTAGACGACCAAAGGGAAAACCAGGTGTCCAGCCATTTGGCCATATGAGACTGAATTTTATCGTTAACGCATTGATCTCTCGAATAAGATTGGGTCCATGACTGTGAAGCTACTCGGTTAAGTCAGTGGCGCACACCAGCCGAGATTCCTAGTCCCGGTCCAGCATATAATCTACTTAGATTACTATCTGACACGGAGGTTCTAGTAATTAGTCTTACAACAGCTTTATTGCACACTATTTTGATAAACCAACCACTGATAAGTCACAAAGGTTCAGATTTTCACACTTTGGACGCAAACTCCTCGTCATTAGTTGAGGTAACTCCCAGTGTCCACATCATAAAACATAACGCACGATTTGACGTCGGTTACTCCAGAGACATTGAAAAACGAACTGCCCAGTTTAACACATTATCAAAACCCTGGTCCCATGCAGAAGATTCGGTATATTTTATGTTTGACCTCTACTTGGATTCAAAAATATTGCAACGTTGCAACCGTAGTTGTTGTTGTTGTTGTTGAATAGTAACGTTCAGCGAACATTTACTGGTAGGTACTTAACTTGATGAATGGTCTCAACAATCACAGCACACCAGGAGGCATACTGTGACAGACAAGAAAAGAAAAACAATCGAGCATTAAGCGACAAAAATGTCTGTCTTAGCCTCTTTGGGACACATCAACAGTACAACCGTAGCATGACAGTCTGAGGTTAATGGTTGGCCAAAACCGAAATAAAAGTACACTATTGTTGTGTACTAGTCGGAATCTCAAACCATGTTGCGTGACCAGTAGAAACCCTCGACCCCGACAACGGTCAAGGGCCACAGTAATTCAAGGTTATCGTTGTCAGTTTAGCCTGAACTGGAAAGCACGCGCACTTCTAACGAGTCCCAGAACAGATAACGGTGCTGTTGGTCGTCACCATAACATTATTCTCCGAAATGAGCACCCAAACACTGGACAGAAATAGGTAATTCCCCAAAGAAGGAAACCAATACCAATACAATACTCGTCCAAATGACATTGTTTGGGAGATCGAAGTTTGATTTTAATCGTGAAAAACTTGGTAGCCTCGATGGGGCTAGACGCAACTCAAACTAATTCGAGTGAAATCCCCCTGAGGGGTGAGACAGAGAAAGAAAACTGATTCAATGGACGTAAGCTCATAATTTATTTGCTCTCGGTCAAAAATAAGGACATAAAGCAATGGAAAAATCACAAAATGGTTAAATACACTGAGCGAACTAGGCGAGATGAAAGCCGGTGTAGTTCAGCATACAAATAAACAAGCGAACAGGTAAGAGAGTAGACGGAGCACAGATAAATAAATAAACCTGAGGATAAAAACGTAATCATAGATGTAAGCGGACGGATAGAATGAATCATCGAAAAATACGAATAAAATGAAACTGAAAAGCAGACACGAATAAATAAATCAATTTTCTGTATTTCTGTTTTACTAGCACAGTGGAAGATTGGCGCAAAGTGAGCGCGACTTGGTCTTGGCACAGTATGAATTCGATGCGTGTGGAGCTGATATGATGGCATTCTTTCTATGAGTGGATTGAGGTAAAGATCCCTCCCTGGTCAAGAACAGGTAGAGCGAGAAAAGTCGAGCAAGATTGGAAGGTGAGAAGTGAAGGTGAGCAATTGTGTTTACGACTAGAATAAGTGTGTGCTTGTGTGTTGTGCTGAAAGAAACAAATTGAGTCAGTCGACCGAGGAAGAGGCGGATGGCCCGGCGATCGCGGCTAATCGATGCGGTGCCGGTAATGCGAGCAGCTCTGGCCCTCCAAGTAATGCACGAGACCACAGAGCTCTTAAACCGAACAGCTGGTCGGCAGGATTTTCCAATTCATCAAGCAACTCATCGACTAAAACTTGGTGTATTGGTTGCCCGACTTCATCCGCGCCCAGATCCCGTACAGAAGAGATTATGGTACATGTTGGGAACAGTTGACGCAATCGAACCACACCATGAAGTGGTATATTGGCACAAAACGAAATGTCCAACAAGCGCAGACGAGAACACTGTCCAAGCAACGATACGAGTGATGCGACTGTGATGTTTATTGAGCCTTGAATGTCGAATTGTTCCAGACTGGATCCGAGGTGTTGACCGACTAGCAGCAGGTCGTCAGCATTCAACAAACTAGTGTAATGAAGACCGCAGGGAGACAGGACACAGATTGATAAGGTGTGCCAGCGAAGTAGATGCATTTAGTAAACAGTTACATGGGGAAAAACAATCTCGGAAGTACTATGGAGATCATAAAGGGCTCATATGACAGCTAGTTAGAATATGCTAGACAACAACAAAAATATTGCACAATAAAAATTGTGTTGGTCATAGAACAGTTATTTAAAACTTCTTGACAGTGCCTAACGGTTATACCAAGCTAGGTCAGCTGGAACTGCAAATCGTGGAGAGAATGCACCTTTTCTTAGCGTAATCTACGCGAATTAAATAGTCCAGTTATTATATTGAAAGATCAGCTACCGATTGAACATGATATTGTAC